CTTTTATTGGTTCTTCTTTCTTGTTTCCATGGATTTCCTCGAGCTTATTCCAAAGCTCCTTCGCACTTGAACATGAAGAAACTCCTTCATAGATTTCAGGACCAAATGCACAAAACAACATGTGCATGGCCTTGGCATTAGTTTGAGCTTTCTTCCGTTCTTTGTCACTTATCTTCTTCTCATTCTTCTTTGGAGAAGAGTATCCGTTCTCGATTATCTCTCATGCATCAAGATCATTGGATTAGATGAATACCTTCATTAATTTCTTCTAATGATGATAGTTGACTCCATTGAAGTATGGAGGTTTGTCGGTTGGTAGGGAGTTTTCCATGTGGAACGAGCCGGAGGTGGAAGTCATCTTCTCGGTTATGTCAGGAATTAGTAGAGCTTCTTCTAAGATCGTCTCAAGGTGGTTAAACCTTCTAACAAGTTAGGCTATTATACCAATTGCTGGGATTTTCGGAAGCTCGAATCGACAACTAGAATGGTTTGCAAAGAGGGTTCGGAATGGTTTTTGTGCTTAGGGAGTAAGGAGATTGAAAGATAAAGAATTGCACAACGATTTATAGTGGTTCAACTTCTCAACCAAGTCTACATCCACTACCTTAGCTCATCACCAAGGATTTTTCAACAAATTCACTAATTTGTTCTTTCTTTTTATAGGACAAATAGATAACCTTTACAACTCCCTAGTTTTTATGTAATAAACTAGAACATTTCTCCTAGCTTTTCATGGGCTAAGCTAGAATCAAAACCCCTTTACAATGAAAGGAAAATGAAAACAAGAAAACCTCTCTAAGGTGGGTGTTTACAAGATTGAGCTCACAAAAACAAAATATTTACAAGAGAAAGATGAAATAAGAATGAAAAACTCTTCTCTTGTGTTTGATTGCTTGGATAGTTGTTCTCTATTTTGTTCAAGTGTCCTTAGCTTGTATTTATAGCTTGGAATGAGTTTGAAGTCGTATATAGCCATTGGGGATGTTTTGGAGCCGTTAGGGGATGATTTTTCTGCATAAAAAGGTTGTTCATAATAGGGGGTATCAGTACCCCTACATAGGGTATCGATACTCCTTCATTAAATTCAAATTAACTAGATGTTACTATTCATTACAGCCAAGGGGTATAAATACCCCTGTGGGGGGTATCGGTACCTTTACATTATGGAATTTTTTCCTTCAAGGGGGTATCGGTACCTCTTAACATTTTTGCTAAAATCCGATTTTAATGGACTTTGAATTATTTTTGAAACCTTTTGAAAACTTTGAATAAATTCAATTCAAGTCCAAAACCATTTTGCCTTTAAATTTGTTATATCAAAACATATTTCAACACTCTGGCTCCAACGCCATCTCAATCATCTTCCACCAATCTATTACGTCACCCTTGAGCAGGGTGATGACGCACTCAAGATTACCCTCTAGGGTAAGGTGCAACTATCGGAGGGTGCGAAGTGTATTTCTGAACCACTGATACACCACTATTGGATCACCATCCCCTAAACTAAAAAACTTAGTGGTTTTGTATTTGCGAAACCAATCTACTAGGGACTGTTGGGGTACTACTGTTGGCTAGAATAAGGGTACTAATGGAGGAGGTAGTGCAATTGAGGCACTAGGTAAGACCTAGCGATCAACCTCAGTACAGAGATGAAGTCTCTAAATAAGGTCACCTCCTCTACCCCGCGTCTACACGTATCTTTAGCTGATTAGAATTCGAGACAAACTCATCACCGATATTGATTACTAGTAAGGCATGAGTCTCTTCTCTACCATCCTGACTATATGATGTGTCATCTACCGTAGGTTTTCATTGAAATTAGAAAGAATAGGAGGCCATTTTTGTCATTCCAATCATTATAGTACTCTCGATTCTTTAGAGGCATATACACGTATAAACGTTGATTGACACTAACATGCGGGTCCTAGAAACAACTAAACCTGACGTACTGATACATAAAATGTAATACCCTATTTCAGTATAACCCAAAGACCGATGGATTAGAACATCACATGGGACCACCAAAGTGGCTAACCCAAACTTTTTCTTTAAAAACTGACTGTAAGAAATCTGATAAAAATCCATCCATGGTAAAATAAAATAAAAATAGTAAATAAGTTTTCAAAATGTGGGGAGCTTCCATATCATGTACAATAAGTACAATGAGTTCAAAACCAAAATAGAGTAACATTTAAATATAAATGGTTTACAAGAGTACATGCCCTTTAAAAAAATCAAGACATACTCTGGTGCCTCAGTTTTGTAGGAATATTTGGTGACGATAATGCTCTCGAACTGATCACCTAAGAACCTATGCATAAAAACACATTCTATATGTTGATCTTACAAGCTCAATACCACAATAATAATTGTAATGTACTATATGCATTCACTAGATGAGCATGCAAGTGGTATAGGTATAAAGATATGGAAACACTGATCTAAAATGATGTAGTATGCATCATGGTACGGTAGAAAGTTCTACATCTCAGAGCCCACACACCCCTTTAGCTTTTCTAAAATACCATTGGGTATTTGGGTGAAATCTGGAGCTGATTCAAAAATGTACACCCGTTAACTTACTCTATGAAGTCTTGGGGAATCTGCAATTAGTCAGCAACTAAAGTGCCTTGACATTACTAGGATATCCAACTGAGTGTTGTGTTCTCCTAAAGAGTATCGGTGTCCTGTATGTTTCCCGAGTGTCAAATAAGGCTAGTTTTATATAATCCTAGTTGTTACTGTTTCTAACTGTTCTGATATTATTTTCTGTTCTCACTTGTAGCTTTATTTGTTGTTATATTGATGTTATTAGGCCCCCTCAAGACTAATCCCTTAACCATTGGATTGCCTTTCCAAAATTATCAGTTGGTATTGATATTAACCCTTTAGTATCGATATTGAACCTTGAGTATCAATATCTTCAATATCGACCTTTTGTTTTCATTACCTGCTAACTGTTGTACACCGATGGGGGAAAGGCAGTATCGATACTCCTGGCAGAGTATCGACACTCGAGTGTTGTGTTATTGATATTGTCCTGAGTATCGATATCAAAATTAGGTTCGATGTTTTGAAAAATACCTTAGTATCGATACCCCTATTGGGAGTATCGATACTCTACATTGGGTATCGATACTCTGCATTGGGTATCAATACTCCTTTGAGTACTGATACTAAAAATGCTACTGGAATCTGATTTGGGCCCCCGGTGTCGATACCACCCTATGGGTATCAAAACCAGGCCTATAGTATCGATACTCTCTGAATGAGTATCGATACTCCTTTCCCAAAACTTTCTTATTTTTACCTTGGCTAAAGAACATCACCGGTATTGTTCTTTCAATATCGATACTCGTGCCTAAAAATGCCCTATTTTAGGCACACAAACTTTATCTTTCTAGTCCAAAGGCCCTACTGAGGTTCCCAACTGTTATTTAGGTTTTATGTATGATTAAAGGGATCATAAAAGGGTTTTTAACATGCTGAAACATCAAAATATGCAAGCTACTATAAATATGCTTCATAACTCATGCAACTTACCAAAACACACCTAATTATCTACATGTGGTAAAGTTGAGTTAGAAGTGTGTAACCTGATGTCCTAAGCTGTTGAGAACTCCCAAAGGCTCAACCAAGAGATAGCTTCTCCTTTCCCCTATCCTTGAAGCTTTCTACAACTTCCCTCACTAGACAAGGATTAAGCACAAGAGTTACTAACTGAATTTAGAGGTTAAGAAGGGTTTAAGAACACTTCCTAGGGATAAAAATTTCTGAAAACGGATCAAAATCTTCAATTCCCTTAAACTCCCACAAAATCTATAATTTGAATATCATGGCCAAATCTTACAAAAGAGGGCTTGAATTGAAGCTTGGAACAAGGGGATTGAAGTTCTTACCTTTAGGTTGTTGAATGGGGCCTGGAATGTTATAAAGCTTCTAGATTTTCTTGAGATGGTAAGGGAAGTCAAGAGGTTTTGAAAGGGAAGAAGAATAAGACAAGGAGAATGGTAAAAAAGAGATACGAGAAATGCTTCAGACGTGATTCACCCATCTTAATGGATTTTTAGCCTTTTGAAATAAAATTGGGTAATTTACTCCCTTGGTCCTTCAAGCTTCGATTACTATTTTCGTAAGGCCAATTAGACTCAATCCAAGCCCAAGCCACTCACACTTGGGTCAAAACTTCTTACAAGTTAAGAAATTTATTCAAGTCCCATCTTAGGTTAGCTCAAAAATTGGGGGGACATTCTTACCACCAAAATGTCAAAGACTTTTATGTGAAACAGCACAATTGAGAGAAGCATTTTGTGGCTCGGTCTTACTTATCTCAATATATGAGAGAAATAACAATCCAATAAAATGTTAAAAAAATAATAATAATAAACTACCGAGCACAAATACATTAAATTTGTGTGTCCAAAAATCTAATATATATCGCAAAAACTTGATATATTTCATTAACTCTTGTACCATCCTTCAAAAATTTCATAGATTATAAAATAATTGCATCCATCTAAAACATCTAAAGTTTAATAAGAGATCAGGAGTTTACCACGTTCCTAGATAATTGCTTTTAAATACTGTAGTGCAGTATTTATGGACCTACTATCATATCAGGGCATAATTGATTTACACCTCTTTACAAAGTTTAATAAGAGATCAGGAGTTTACCACGTTCCTAGATAATTGCTTTTAAATACTGTAGTGCAGTATTTATGGACCTACTATCATATCAGGGCATAATTGATTTACACCTCATTACATGTGCATAATTTATACACACGTAAATTGTAATGGAATACGTATAGAAACACATTTAAGAATGCCGGTACCAAATTCCATTGACTTCGACCCTATATAAGTATATATATATATATATATATATATATATATATATATATATATATATGCAAGTCATCGTTGCCTTTTGATCTTGAACACTTGAGCCATCTCACTCCTTCACGTAAACTTCACCTTCGTCTTCATCCATTTTCTTAGCTTATTTTTCCCTGGAAAATCAATGGGGAAAACACCTTGCGGTGATAAAAATGGCCTCAAGAAAGGTCCCTGGACTCCCGAGGAAGATCAGAAGCTTAGCAGTTATATCCAGATTCATGGAGCCGGAAGCTGGCGAAACCTCCCAAAGAATGCTGGTATTTACATATATAAACATTACTTCTCCCGTTATATACATATAAACTTTGCTACGTTGATTACAAGATAATATATTTTCATAGTCGATAATACGGGCTTATTCTATAGATGAAACTGTTCGAAACCCGAGACTTCTAGACTTTAATAATGATTTTGTTTGAACTGTTTAGGGTTGCAAAGATGCGGGAAGAGCTGCCGTCTGAGGTGGACGAACTACCTGAGACCGGATATCAAGAGGGGGAGGTTTTCGTTTGAAGAAGAAGAGATTATTATTCAACTACACAGTGTTTTAGGAAACAAGTAGGGTCACAGTTTTCTTTGGTCGGTATTATTATCTTTGTTATCGAGTAATGAACTTGGATCATGACACATTTTTTTTCATATCAAAACCAGGTGGTCGGCGATTGCCGGTCGGTTGCCGGGGAGGACCGACAACGAAATCAAGAATCACTGGAACACTCGTATCCGGAAAAGGCTTGTGAGGAATGGGATCGATCCCGTAACACACTTGCAACGCCTTGATCTGCTCGACCTTTCTTCCATTATCAGTTCCGCCTTGTGCAACCAATCTTTTCTCGCTCCGTCGAACTTATTAGATGCACAAACTCTTTTGAATTCAGAGATGCTGCTACAAAATCTCCAGCAAAACCAGTTCTGCAATTCTCCGTTTCAGTATCAAGCTCCCATTCAAAACGAATCTAATATGATGACAAACTGCAGCATTTTCCAGGAAAATTTGACAGCTTATAGTAATCCAACGGCTCCGTTTATGTCTGATCAAAATCTAAACTTTCAATCCATGGGTGGCAGTCAAAATTTTTCTTTTGATTCTGTGAGGCTGACGCCAGAAACAAGTCCGATTCCTTTGAATTTATCATCTACATTTATCAACGGATACAACGAGATAGAAAGATTCGATGATTTGCTGGAGTTTGAAATTCCAGAGGATTTGAGTATTAATGATTTTGTGTAAAGTATATACATTTACATTATTTATAGCTTAAATTCTGGAGTTTGGATTTGTAAAAACACACCATCATTTTTGTAATTTTGGTTTGTTTAATTTTTTTTATTAATCTGGGATAAGTACAAGTGAATATATATTATAAGATAACTCTTAATCTCTTAATATTGAACGCTGACACCCTAACATTTTTAGTGCTCGAACCCGAATTTCAAGAAACGATAATTGTTCTTTTACCACGAACACCAATCGGTTCGTACAATTTTTTTTATTGTGGGTTTGTTTATTTTTTTCATTATCCGAATAAACTATTTTTCATTTTTTAAAAAAAATATTGATATCCCTAGAGACTCTTGTTGACCTATCAAAGTAAAGATGCATAATTTTTAAAAAATTTAATATAATACATTTATTATTCATACTTCTCTTCCCTCAAAACTTATTGTTTGGTTTATGTATTTTTGGATTCCTAGCAGTAATATTTTTTTCCAGGTTAAAGATACCCATATTTGGATGGGTCACATTCCCAAGTGATGGTAAAAGGTCAATACCAATAATGTTTTTTGGGGCTGAATTACGGGGAATATGATTCCCACATCTCACCTAGGTATTTCTTTATTTCCTTGTTTAATGGGCTAAAATCCCCTTCTCTCGTTTGCTTGCTTCTACGAAGGAAAAAAAAATCATCTTCTTCGATTTGGCGAGAAAAGCTCACAGATTACACACATAAATAAACTGCAGCAACTCTAGAGTGAGGCGGTCGAGCCAAACCCTAATATCCCAATAAGTATAGGCACCTTCATTCTTACTATCTGGAGTTCTTAAGATTTTCCGTAAGTTAGTTATGCAATTTAAACAATTGTTTTGGTCTTTGGTAATTGTAAAGGTAAGAAGAAGGAAAATGAGAGATGGTGGTGCCGCTTCTAAGTAAGAAAATCGTGAAGAAGAGACTCAAGAAGTTCAAGAGACCCCAGAGTGACCGCAAAATCTCCGTTAAGGTAACTTCAAAATCTTCTATTTCCATTCATCTTTTACTTCCTTTCAAAAGTTCGATCTAAAACATCCTTTTGTGTAGTTTGATTTGAATTTTAGTTAACGTGCACAGAGAAGTAAATCTTTGACACTGAGTTGTAAGATGTGGAGTCAATATCATTCGTCTATTTGATCCATTTATTATGGTTGAGATTATTTTCAACGTTTCATTTTGCTAGTGGATGTGATGATTATTGTTTGATACCCAGTTATACTTTCAGCTCTAGATGGAAGATGGTGATATCAATTGATAACTAATCTGGTCCATTCTTATTAAAATAGAGTATTCTTTTTTGCACTATTGTATGATCCCTATTGCATTTTTTCTTTCAAATTTCTGGTCAATTGATTTAATTGCTAGAGTACCTGCTTTTTCTTCCATTTCCAAGCAATCTACGATGAAAAAGAATCATCGACCTGATCTCTGTGTGATAATTATATAAAATAATCTCCATCTTTTAGTTGAGATTGTAGACATTTTCTGCAGCAAAAAGACTGAACATTTGTTAAATATATCGGTTATACTAGACTCACAGTGTTTAATTTCAATTAACTTCACATATTTGATGAGATTTCTCTCAGTCGTTTGCCCGTGGTATCTGCTGTGCAGTTCTTATATATTCATAGCTGGACATTTCGTTTTGAGGGCACATATAAAATTTTGAACAGGTCTTGCGACACAGTTTGTTTTTTCTCACACAAGCTTTCTGTTATTAAAACCATGGTCACATTGATCCGCTTTTTGTAACCCTTTTAGTTTTTTCCATGCTTGCAAACTCTAAGTGAGAAACTTGTTTGACTTATTGTGAATGTACTGTTACAGACAAACTGGCGTAGACCAAAGGGTATTGATTCTTGTGTAAGAAGAAAATTTAACGGATGCACTTTGATGCCCAACATTGGCTATGGTTTAGACAAGAAGACACGAAATTATCTCCCAAATGGCTTTAAGAAATTTATTGTGCACAATGTTGGAGAACTTGAACTTTTGATGATGCACAACATGTAATTTAATGCATATTGCGTTTTATGCAACTGTTTAATGTATATACAATTTACTTTTGTGTTCTTATTTCACTTTTTGTTGCTTTTCAGGTCATATTGTGTTGAAATTACTCATGATGTTTCGACAAAGAAGAGAATAGATCGTGAACGGGTAGCACAACTTGTAAGAATGGATGCTCAACCAAATCTTTTGAATTTTAGAGGATACAATAATTTATAATTGTTCATGTCACGATTATATGCTGTGAAACTTTGCTGAAATAGACACAGGTGCCTCCGAGATCACTTATGCATTAAGCATTTCCTGTAATACAAATTTTGGTAAGAGAGAAAAGTGGAATGTCTTTGTTTTGTGACTATCAGCCTATAAAGTTGAACATTTAGTTCAGATTCTAGAACCGCTTCAACTCAAAAGGAGGTTTACTTGGTGCTTGGGGTGTTGGTTTTGAGTTATATCAAGGTTGAGATGTTAGTCCCTGGATTTTGACTTTGGGTAGCAAGAAAGGGCCATTTTGGACTCCAAACAAAGAAAACTGAATTTGATGGAAAATTGTAGGACGAGTTGTTTTTAACTTGTAGTATGTAAAGTTGATCAAATTCTATGTACTTTTGACATCTTCAAGTAATTAGATGGCAAGCCTCATAATAAGACAAGAAAAGCAATGCATAAGCTACCAGAAATAAGGGCCTTAACTTTTTCCATATTGAAGGCTTGATTGCGGCAGAAGAAGAAAATTAAGATAAGATATCTAGAATCACTTGAATTAAGTTTTAATTTTTTTGGATAATTATTAAAATTACACATTAATTTTGTTAAATGCATAAGTAATACATAAATATTAATTATGTACCAAAAGAAATACATAAATATTAATTTATAATTTTATATAATATATATAATTTTTTTTGTTTAATTGTATATATAAAATTTTAATTTAAATATACACATTTAAAAAGTAAATGCATTCATTTATAATAAAGTCATCTTTTTACATTTTGGTAGAAGTAAAATGGTTCATCTATTAAAATGTTCATATGCTTATTTAGTTGAATGTTGATGTAAAATTTTAATATATTTTTAGATAAATTATGTAAAATTTATTACTAATTAAAATTAAAATAATACATGATTTATTTACTCTTTTATTCTATCCATTTATCTTTTAAATTTTATAAAAAATTTATATAAAATTTATTAAAAAGTATATATATTAAAAATAATAAAGTATTATATTCTCGATGAATTTTTATATAAATATATTCATTTAAATATTTAGAATTTTATTTGTTAAAAAATATAGAACAAGGACAATTTCGTAAAATATACATTCCAGTAATTTTTTATTCCTTCAACCAAACACTGTAATCTTACATTCTTGCCAAACAAACCAAACACAGTAATGTAACATTCCCAGTAATGTGTTAGGTAATGTTACATTCCGGTAATCCTATTTCCAAAGGTAATCTTACATTCTGTGAACCAAACGCACCCTAAAAGATATTAAACGTTTAAATATTTATTTTTATATCCTCTTAACCAACAACATTACAATTCAATTCAATCGACCACAAACATAAATATTTAAATATAGAATTATAGATCATATAACTTTTATATATGTGATCATATAACCATGATTTCATTATAAATTCATTCTTCACTTGATTAAATCGAAATTAAATTAAGATAATATAAAAGAAAAATATGTTACTATAATGACGTTTATTTGTTATTATGGTAATTTTTCTGTCTTGCACCATCGAATTTGATTAGAAAACATGATTTGTATTCCTAAATTATTTTCTCATACCGCTCGACTTTGATTTGTTGGTAGTTTTTCAATAATTTGATTCCCTTTTATGTTTCATTTACAAATACAGTCAGATTTGATTACATCTATCTTTTGTTCAAGTTTATTTGATTAGATTTTTTACTTTTTTTTACATTTAATTTATAATTTTGAATATAAATAATTTAAAATATTTTCTATGTTTCATTTACAAATACAGTCAGATTTGATTACATCTATCTTTTGTTTAAGTTTATTTGATTAGATTTTTTAATTTTTTTTACATTTAATTTATAATTTTGAATATAAATAATTTAAAATATTTTCTATTTTTAGTAAAACTAGATGTTCCTATGAAAAGGAAAGAAACTGATCAAAACTTATTTAATAAGCAGAAAATACATGAAATCATCATACGAAAATGAAAGCACAAGAGTTACTAAATCAGACCTAAAAGAAGATAGAAAACTAGGTAATATGCTGACAAGAACAATGTAGAGGTACATATATTCAACGAGTTTCCCTGTCATCAGTATTCTTCTTCTTTCTTCATCGTCAAACAAATACAAAGCAACTTCAATGCCTTTGAATCAAAATAGAAAGTGGGATCTTGTCCTCACATGCCTTCTCCTAATCCCCTTTTTCCGTTTCTAAATGTGAAAGAATCATTGTGTGGATTGCTGTTTTGTTCTTCGGAGACGTGATCGACTTTGTTGACTGATCCTTTGATCCCCTTTCAACCCTTTATTTTTCGGAGACGCAGAATGATATGCTAAGGGTAGCTAGAAATAATGAAGGTTTTGAAATGGGAGCATGCAGAAGAAAAACCTTGCGGGTCCCTTCGGCTTCGCGGCGGAAGCAATAGCTGCTAACCATGCTTTACAATTAGCTGCCGATTTAGGGCTTCAAAGGGTCATTTTAGAGGGAGATTCCAGATCGGTAACAGAGAAGCTAATATCGTCATCATCAGATCGTTCGGAAATAAGCACAATCATAGCAGAAGTAAAATTTCCTGCAAGGCAATTTGAAGCATGCACTTTCAGATTCACTCCGAGAGGGGGAACAAAACAGCACACATCTTAGCCATGGAAAAAAAACCTAGGAAATGAGGACACATATTGGGTACAGGTGTTACCAGATCGAGCGGCGAACCAGGCAGCGACGGACAGACGAGGGATAGAACCACCATAGCCATTTCGACAGGTAGATGACTGAGAGAACGAAAAGATCTATTCACCATCAATTGCTTTGACTTCTCACCGGGGCTATCACCAAAATATTTAGACAGGGAGTGAGTAGTGAACTACCGGATTTAGGGATTTCAGGCCTTTTCTTTACTCTCGTCCATGCACGGGCGAAAACAAAGAGAAGAGGAAGCTCATGGGTTCCTTTTTTTTTTAGTTTTTTAGGCTTTCAGGAACCACTTTTTCTTTTATTTTTTTCATTTATTGTACTGCTTGTGTGGTCTAGCTGGACCCCATCGTTTGCTTTGAATAAAATATCCGGCCGTTTTGATAAAAAAAGCAATCATATTTTTTACCTCATAAAATTGTAAATAATTAATATATTAAATATTAATAGTATAAAATAATTTTAAATACTCAAATTTATTAATATTTTACTAAATTAAACTATTTGTATATTATTATATCTATAATTTTGAGTAAAATACAAAAAAAATAAGAATTAAAAAAGATAATTATAAAAATAATTCATTAATCTAAGGACATTCTTATCTAAAGTGGTGAGAATATAAAGCTAATCAGCCCAAAAACATATAATAAACAAATTTTGAATATAACAAGAACATCAGCGTTATGCCATGTCTAATCTTTGTATTTGATCAAAAGGCATCTTACAAGCTGCATTACACAAATGGATATATACTCTATGGTACAGCATGTTTATCTACGTTGCGAAAAACATACTAGCTGAATATAAGTATCGAATACCGGAAACTGCCGCCAGATAGCAGAGGATGTTTACGCCCACCACGGGGCATCGCCGGTTCTGAAATCTGTTTCGGTCCATGGAGTAAAGACTACCTTCCCCCCGTCTTCCACATTGGCATGAGCCAATGCCAAGGACTGTTCCAACAACCACAACAGAATCGGGTTATTACTACCTCATCAATCATCATGCTAAAATCGAAATAACCGAAATATAAATATGTATGTTCGCGGCTCACCAGCGGGGCTGGTCCTCGCACGACTCGTCCTTGATCGTTGTACTGAGATCCGTGGCAGGGGCATATGAACTTGTTCTCAGCTTGATTGAATGGAACAACACATCCAAGGTGAGTGCATACGGCGTTTATACCATAGTTTGCAAGAGTTCTGTCCTTCTCCACCACTAGGTAGGTCGGGTCTCCCTGAAAAAATCACATACTATTTACATCATATGTATTCAATGGCGGATCCTTTACCCATATTAAAAATTCAAAACTTTCTCAAGTAATTACTTATTTTACTGATTATATCTACATTTCGTATATGTTAATATATATGTGTGCTCAATCTAAAACAACATTTCACTTGTATTTACCTTCAATCCTTGACTCAAGGTTCGGTCCCCAGGGCCATGATTCTCGAGCCATTCAGCAGCAATGATATCATTTCCGATGGCATCCTTGGCAACCGTACCGCCACCGGCGCCTCCACCACTGTCATCGAATGGAGAGAATGAGATTGCTTAAACTGAACAAGGAGAGAAAATGAGAAGAAGTTAAATTACCCGGGAGGGACAAAGAAGGCTGCGTAAGGAACCAACATGAAGCCAGTGGGGAGTGAAATAGCCCCCAGCAGCAGCAGATTCATGAGCTGCCTCTTGCCCATGTCCGGCACTCGATCAGCGGGGATGCTTGTGGCCACGACCACGACCACGACACGACACGACACGACACGACCCGACCCGACCCGAGACGAGACGAGACGGCGGCGGCGGCGGCGCGCGAGAGTCCCCCTTGTTCTCTTTCACTCAACAAGGAAATGGGAAATCCAAGCCTTAAATACACTTCCCAATAGTGTTTCCAATACTATGTGGGATTGAGCATTACTCAACACTTCAAAGAAAATATAGCAATTTTTGTAGCATGTTTCCCGCTTAATCCATATTTAAAAATATTAAAACATTTTATCATATTAAAACTATATGTATAAGTTTGAATTGAAATGTAGATATCTACAACTCTTTTAATTCTCTTGATAAAATGTTTTAATATTTTTAGATATGGATTAAGTGGGAAAATACTACAAAAATTGCTATATTTTCTTTGAAGTGTTGAGTAATGCTCAATCCCACATAGTATTGGAAACACTATTGGGAAGTGTATTTAAGGCTTGGATTTCCCATTTCCTTGTTGAGTGAAAGAGAACAAGGGGGACTCTCGCGCGCCGCCGCCGCCGCCGTCTCGTCTCGGGTCGGGTCGGGTCGTGGTCGTGGTCGTGGTCGTGGTCGTACGTGTCTTCGACACGTCCGCGCGGATACTATCTTTTTAGAGAAAATTCTTAAGAAAGAAACAAATGCAACAACTTTTGAAAGAATTTACTCATTTTCTGAATCGCGTTGCGATTCTTGGAATCGCGTTGCGATTTTCTTAATCGCGTTGCGATTCTTGGAAGATCGCGTTGCGATTTTCTGAATCGCGTTGCGATTTTCTGAATCGCGTTGCGATTTTCTTAATCGCGTTGCGATTCTTGGAAGATCGCGTTGCGATTCTTGGAAGATCGCGTTGCGATTCTTGGAATCGCGTTGCGATTCTTGGAAGATCGCGTTGCGATTCTTGGAATCGCGTTGCGATTTTCTTAATCGCGTTGTGATTCTTGGAATCGCGTTGCGATTTTCTTAATCGCGTTGCGATTCTTGGAATCGCGTTGCGATTCTTGGAATCGCGTTGCGATTCTTGGAATCGCGTTGCGATTCTTGGAATCGCGTTGCGATTTTCTGAATCGCGTTGCGATTCTTGGAAGATCGCGTTGCGATTTTCTGAATCGCGTTGCGATTTTCTGAATCGCGTTGCGATTCTTGGAAGATCGCGTTGCGATTTTATGAATCGCATTGCGATTCTTGGAAGATCGCGTTGCGATTTTCTTTTCAACGTTGCGCTTTTCTAAATCGCGTTGCGGTTTTGATATCGCGTTGCGATTTTGTTGGTCATTTTGGCAAATCAAAAAAAAGTTGGTTAAAATCGTATATTATAAGGCATTTTTGGTCACTGAGGCGATTTTCTCTTATATATATAATAGATTCTCCCTAATCTCTTGTATATTTGCAAGCTCATGCATGCATCATTAATATTTAAGACTCATGCCTGTCCCCATTCATGACCTTTTTCTTTTGTTTATTTTTCTAGATGATGCAACAGCTATTGTGATTCGAATTGATGAATTAATTATTAAGATTTTTATTTGAAAAATATTCATTATAAAACGTAATTAAACTTATTATTTAAATATATTAAATAAAATTCATATATGTAAAATCAATGAATAGTCAAAAAGTAATTTTTATACAAAATGAAAACTAAAATTCAATATTCATAAGACTTTCAACTCTTCAAAGGCTAATATTATATTGGGTAAATTTTATTTTATTTTAAAACCATACAAGGACGGATGGGGTAGTTACCCCTCAAAATTTGAAATTACATATATTTTAAATTTTTTTTATGTATTTTCTATTAAAAATTTGTTCCCCTCGGAATTTTATAAATTCATCACTTCTTAAAATTTTAGAAGCTCTCATCTCTAACATAAAATCTTGCGCCTATCCTTGAAATCCCACCTAACGTTTAGTTTAGATTTCATTTTGGTATTCCGCCTTTAAAATCTTAATGTGTCATCATAAGATTATGTCACACCATCATTGAAAAATAAAAAAAATTTGACATGTCAGTAGTTCTGTTAATTTTTTAATGACGAGATGCCAAATTAAAATCTGAATTAAACATTAAGTATGGTTTTGAAATAAAATAAAATTTATATATCAAAACAAAACAAAAATAATAATTTAGGTACTAAACTTGTAGTTTACCCTTATTTTTTTTCTAGTTCACCGGATTAAACACATGTGGTAAGAAACCCTTCAAGCTAAAAATCCATATAAATAGAAATTTAATACTCATAAGACTTTAAACTCTTCAAGCTAATATTTACATTGATGGTCGATCATTATTTATGTTTTAACTTGTAAAAATTTTAGGTTTTTCATATGTCAGTTTCGAAAGGGTAGATTCAAACCCTAAAAAACCCTTGCCTCGTACAGATTACATCACTTTCCAACGAATTAAACGGCCGAGATTAGATTCTAAGCCTCATAAACCTCATCAAGAAGATCATAACTCAGCTAAAATTAGGGATGGCAGTATAACCCGGACCCGACGGGGAAATTCGAAACCCGGTTAAGTTTAGGTCGGGTCGGGTCAGGTATCAGGATTTTTTCGGGTCGGGGACGGGGCAAAAAAAATTCCAACGGGGCGTCCGATAAAAAATCCGTCGGAGATCGGATCGGGGTCGGGGACGGGGATTTATTTCGGGTTCGGGGACGGGACGAGCAAAACCCGCCCCGAACCCGACCATTGCCATTCCTAGTTAAAATTACCCAGAAAGCTGGTTTGATCGGTTTAATTAGAAGTAGAAGCCATCCAGCTGATCATAGAAATCCATTTCTCCATTAAGAAACGGAAACTCAGCAAATTCATAGCCAGAAGAATCCAAAGTAGTACTGGTAATCATATTAGAATTTTCCCAGAAAAACGGTTCCGACCAGAAACTTCCACTATCTACCTCGTATGCTTGAAACGAAGCCTTGTTGCTGTTATCATCATCTGTAACTGAGTCTTTGGTGGATTTAACCGTATTATATTTGTTTATGGAGGAGGATTGATCGCTTGAAGCTGGTTCTTGGGGCGAATACGATGGTGAGCTTTCAAGAATTAATGGAAGATTATGATCGTTTAGCTTTGTTTCTTCTTTCTCTTTACTTTTACCACGCTTGTTTACTTCAGCTGATTCTTTTTTACTGTCATATTTAGCTTCCGAAGGCTTGTCCTTGAAGTGTTTCTTGAGATTCGTGTGCCAATGGTTCTTCACCTCGTTGTCCGTTCGACCTGGTAACTGTGCAGCAATGGCGGACCACCTGCATATTTGTGAATTCTCTTTATTAATTAAACAACCCTTTGTTATTTTCACAGTATATGAATGTTTGAAGCATTTTAAACAGTACCTGTTGCCTAGTTTCTCATGTAATCTGATGATCGTCTCTTCTTCTTCCATGCTGTAATTCCCTCTTTTGACGTTGGGCCTTAAATAATTAAGCCATCGAAGCCGGCAACTCTTCCCACATCTTTGCAGACCTGAAAAACACACGACGATCAGTACATAAAACATTATCCACAACAATTCTTTCGTTATCATGAATCTGTACTCTTCGTGATCTTTATATTTACCTGCGTACTTGGGGAGTTGTCGCCAATTCCAGCAGCCGTATCGGGTGACATAGGCGATCAGTTTCCTGTCTTCCTCGGGCGTCCAGGTTCCTTTCCTCAGTCCGCTCGTATCACAACAAGGTGTTCGTACCATGTTTCCTTGCCTTTGTTCTTCACTCACTCGAGTTCATTTGCTTTCTGTTTTACTAACTTCAAATTTCCAAACTTGGAGCAATTTATACACTGCCATTCTTTGGACCAAAACGTGCTACACGTTTTATTTTCGGAATTTAATATAATTGTAATATTTTTATAAAATACCCATTTGCGTTTATTAATGCAAATAACCCTACTTTTCTGGTTCTTTGTAGAAGGTCGATATCCAGGAAAATTCAGCAGATGTCGCTTTTAAGGCTTCATCTTAGTCAAAACTATGTGTACGTCATATTGGTAACTCGCATTAATCAATATATAGCCGAGCTTCGAGGAAATATATATATATATATATATAAATAAAGCATTGTTATTGCCGCAACAAACCCTGATGTGTGCACACCATTCAACCTAAATTTCGACGAAGGTCATTTTACTTCATCAGCAGCAGTAGATTCAGCACGTTTTATTTAACCAAATTGTGTCTTGAGCAAGAACTGTAGTAGGCTTGACAAATGAGCCGGACGGTGCAGATATCATTTTTTTTTATTTAATATTTTTTTGTATCCACCACTTATCTATTATAAAATTTTTAAGTCAACATCCACCTATGTGTAAACGAGTGAGTCAATAGTGAGTTAGGCAGTACTCGACTCATGCTTGTTAAAAAATTTTGTTACTCGACTCGTTGCTCGTTAAGGTCGTTAAAATTTTACTCGACTCGTGCTTATTAAGAAAATTTATATGATGGGTAATTAGTGGGTGGATTGTTCTGGGGCAGGCAAATACAGGGCGGGTAAGGTCTTAAACCCATCACCTACTCACGATGTTTTGACTTTTTAGATTCACACTCCCCCACTACCACTAAACTCATACCCATCTATATCCCAATTAAAATAGATACAGTACAAAATTCACAAAATTACGCTCGTCTACCATCGTTGAATTGTGGTCTTGAGCTTGAAAATCCATTTTCGATCAGGGAAATGAAATATTAATTCGAAGAGAAAATATCATACCTAACTATTTGTTTTAATCACATGTGGTTAAAAATAATAGAAAAGAAAAATTAGGCACGAAAAGTTTTTGTGGCCTATATTTCTTTTGATTATGCACAAAATATTTGGGGTACAACTCACTTGTTAAAGAAATAAAATAAAAATGAAAAATTCGGGATACGTCGGGTCAGAGATCGTTGGCACATGACTATACTTCTACTAATAGACATTGATTAAGAATAATAAATCTAGTTTGAGTAAATTCATAAGTTATTTTACAATCAAGTTGTTATTTATATAAATAAAT